TAAAATATATATATATATATATATATATATATTTAAAAGGAAAGAAAATATGCAAATACATACATATGGACATTTGTACTTTCTTGGGGAAGATACTTTTTTTCTTATAGACAAGGCATCATGTAATCCAATTTGGCCTTGAACTCAATATATACCCAAGATGGCCTTCAACTCCAGATCTTTCTGTCTTTGTCTCCTAAGTGCTAGAATTTCAGGCATGGGACACCATTCCCAGGTTAGAATTCTTATTAAATTTTTCTAAGATGGCTCTGGCTCCAGAAAGGTTTAGATAACATTTTGTGCCAGGTGTGATAGTACAAGCCTGAAATTCCAGCTACTACGGAGGCTGAAGCAGGACCAAAAAGTTCAAAACCATCCTGAACAACTCAGTGAGACCTGTCTCAATACAAAAAGTAAAAAGAGGACTAGGCCTCTAGCTCCAGAGTAGAGTGCAAGCCTAGCATGGGTGAAGCCCTAGGGACACTCTCCAATCTTGTTCAACAAGCAAGCAAACAAACCATTTTACTAAACCTTAAGGGTCATTCCCAGGTCCAACATCCTGTACTTGACAAAATTTAGAAGAAAAGTAAATTTCAGAAAGCTAGTGGCTCATCCCTACAACCCCAGCAGCTAGAGGTAGAGTCAGAAGGAGGATCAAGAGTTCAAAGCCAGGGGCTTGAGAGATGGCTCAGCAGTTAAAAGCACTGCCTGCTCTTACAGAAGACCTCGGTTCTGTTCCCAGCACCCATATGGTGGCTAATGACCATCTGTAACTCCGGATCCAGAGGATCCAATACCTTTTTCTGACCTCTGCAGGCATTGCATGACGTAGGTGCTCTTCCATCCATGCAGGCAATTCACTCATACACATAAACTTTTTAAAAAAGTTAAAAGCCAACAGCATGGTGGCGCATGTCTTTAATCCCAGCACTCAGGAGTCAGAGGCAGGAGGATCTCCTTGAGATTAAGACCAGCCTGGTGTACCTAGGGAGTTCCAGGCCAGCTGGGGCTACAAGGGAGACCTTGTCTCAAGAAGGAAAAAGAAAAAAAAAAAAAAAAAAGAGTTCAAAGACAGCCTTGATGAGTTCCACGTTAGCCTGGCCTACATGAGATCTTCCCAAAAATCCAAAGAGTGAATCTCAGTGTTTACTGAATCTCAGTGCTTATTCTATGATCCAGTCCCCTGGATACCTGGGAAAATGCACTTGGAATCTCTGGAATCTTAACATGCAGGACTTGAAATTGTGAGCTGTCTTGCTGATCAGCCATGGTAGTGCCTTCGGAGATCAAGATCAAGAACAAGCCCTATCAGTCTCTTCTCTCAAAGCTGCTAAGTCCTCACTGCTCAATGCCAAGCTCACTTAAAGAAACTCAGATTGGATTAGGCACGCAGGTGATGCATAGAAGTAATACAATATGGGTTTTTTAATGTTGGCCACCATGGTTTTGAGAGCAAAGTGAGTGAAGAAAGATGGGAATGGGGGTAGGGATGCTCCTAGGTGACCCAAAGCTAAGTGAAGCCTAGAGTCATCTAGATACTTGGGTGTGAGCTGTTGAAAGTCACAAGAATCCTGGGGGGGGAGATGAAAATGCTTCCTAGGTGCCCAATATAGACCACTTTAGGGAAGGGACAATCACTGAGGACAATCAAGACTGGTTAAGGCAAAGAAGCCAGCTGCTAAATGGATCCAGCAAAGAGAAAGATTATGTTACCTCCCTTCTTCCCCTCCAAAAAGTGAGAGCCACCATTTAACAAGTGGCCCCTGGCTATGGTAAACTTTAATTAACTGCACCATTATAATTCACTTCCAAGCCAGAGTTCCGCCCCAAGGTCTCTGCTGGCTCCCTCCAGTTTCCTTAGGTTTCCTTCTCCCTACCAGGTCTTGTCAAGTCAGGCTTCTTAAGTGAAACCAAACTGGCCTCCTTTGCTGGATGCCTCATTATTACAGCTGCTGCTTCTCCTGCTAATAATAGCACCCGGCATCAAGAAGAGGAGAAAAAAACGATACCGTTCTCAGCTCTTAATGACAGGCTCCCTTGCCTATGTGTACTAGTAATCAAGGGTCTTATAATCCTAAAAGTTCCTGAACATAATACCAAAGCAATGAAGAGACAGTAGCAAGGCAGGCAGGAGCCCACGTGCACATAGGTAGATAACAGGGTGAGCACCAGACGCTATTTATGGTGTCCACACCCAGACAGGTAATCCACACATCCAAGTCCATACCTGAGTCTTCCTTCCATCTTCTGGAGCTACTGAGCCTTACCTATTTCAAGAGCATGTGGGTTTGGTGTGGGGGTTGGGAGCACCTTGGAGGATTTTCCAGGCAAAGCCTGTTCAGGTTTTTATTAATGAGTTTATAAGAAAAGCCAGCCGAGGGGGCTGGAAAGATGGCTCAGCAGTTAAGAACACTGACTGTTCTTGCAGTAGACCCGGATTCAAATCCTAGCATCCACATGGCAGCTAACAACTGTTAGTCCCGGGGATCTGACAGCCTCTTCTGATCTCCTTGGGCACTGCACGTCATGGGTGCACTTACCTACACACAGGCAATACACTCATACGCATAAAATAAAAATAATAAAATATTTTTTTAAAAAGCCAGCCCAGAACTTTAAGCGAAATATATGATTGGTAGCTGCACCAGAATAGGGTTTAGAATTAACTCTTCCTACAGTCTACTATACATTATCACCCCCAAGTTAATTACGTCTGAGGATGAAAATAGGTTTCATGACTCATAAGTACCAATACAACACTTGGCAGCAGATGAAAATGCAAGGACACATTTGCAGGAAGCTAACAGGAATGAACATCTATTTATATGTAGGGAGATTCTTAGAGGTGAGCCAGGCACCTCCCATGTACCATGCTGCAGAGCCATCAATAGTGCCATGGATCCACATCCCCAAACACATGCCCGTGAGGGCACTCAGGCTTCTGCTTTCCACTTCAATAATGGTGGCAAAAGCAGTAACAGAAACTAAAAGGGTATTATTAACAGCAAGTCCCAACACCAACCAAACCTCCACACCGGTGTTAAGGACTAACCAGTGATTTGTTTTCCTCAAACGTGCCTGCACCCATTCCCTCTCTCTGCCCTTCTGCTCCTCTTTAGAAGGAGGTGGGGTGGGGGTCCTCAATTCCTCCAAATGGGCTGGAAGGTTTAGAGCCGGTCAGCTCACTCAGCCCAGGAATGGGGTGTGGCCAGGAATGAATTTCAGATAAGATCACACCTTTTTGTTTTGTTTCCTTTCTCCTTTCTCATCCTCTATTTGCCTCCAGGAAAGTATAAGGTTCAAACAGGGGTTGTTTGCTTTGTCCTGGCTAGGTGAAGGCTTCAGTCAGGTGTCAGCTGGGGGCTCAGAGTGCTCGAGGGTATGACAGTCCTAGGTCCCCTTCTCTAACCCACAAAAAGTTGGTTAGATGAATAGAGGCATTTATTTGCCAGTAAAATGCATTTCACTTGGTGCCTAAGTAACCTTTGCTTTAGGTTTGAGTTTCTTTCTTTTCTATCCCCATCCCCCAAGCCTGCGCTGATCAGCTCTTTAGAAACACTTATTAAAGGGTAGGACATAATGAATGAGGTGAAGACTGCTTTGCGATCATCATCATCCATTCACCTTCGCAGAGGCCCGCACCCTAACCTGCCCTGCCCCCACCCACACAATTTTTTTTTTTTTAAAGGAAGAAAGGGTTTATTTTGGAATCGGTCCAGAGGAATAGAGTCCATCATGGCGGTGGGGAAGGCCTAGCAACAGTGAAGGAAAGCATGACAGTCAGTAGGAGCAGGAAGCAGGTTGATCCCATTTTCATCCACACAGGAAGCAGAGCCTAGCTTGACACTTTTTGTCTTAAATGTGCAATGACAGCGAATTCTGCCCTAGAAGAGGTGAAGCACCATATATATATAAATTTTTTTTTCTTCTTCTAGATTTCCTTCCCTTCTCACTTGTCAAGCTGCATTGGGTATCAGCATATACTCAGTGCCCTAGGGTGAGACACCAAAAAGCATTACAGACAATGCCTTTTGCAGCTGGGACCCATATCCGGAGGAAAACAGAGATGCTGGAAGAGTAAACAGAAATCGCTTAGTCAGCAACTGTTGTCTTCCCCAGGAGGTGAATGTAAATAGTGACTGGTACCCAGGGGGGAGGGGCAGCCAGCTCAGAGGGCCTTCAAAGGGGCCAGGATTCCAGTTCCAGGTAGGCGGTTAGGGAGGTGTCCCCTAGTTGGAGTAGTGCGGCCTCAGCCCTATAAAGACAAACTTGCTGACTCAGGGCAGAATTAATATCAATTGAATTTATTACAAGATACTAAGCTCCAAGGCACATTACAGTGTTCTGTTAACTACAGAAATGTATAAAGGACAAACAGAGCAGGTTCTCCATGTCTAGCATTTCGCTCTACTGTTCAAAAGCATCCGTGCATCAATAAAGCCAAAACAAAACAACACGTGAAGATCAACACATTCAGGTCAGTAGAAACAAACCAAAACATTTTCCCCCTCACAAACTTGCAACAAAAAACACCCCCATCCCCTCCCAACACCCCCCTTTACCATTTTGCAAACAAAACAGGAAAACAAAACAGAATGGAACAAAATTAAGTGAAGACTTCAACACTTGGGGCTGTTTAGAAAGAAGCTTTCACCATTTTATAGCATCAGTATTTTTTTTTTTTTTAGGCAGCAACACTGGCCTTGGCAAAACAAAAACAAAAAAGTCTTTTTCTTTTTTGTGTGTTTTTCCTTTCTGAGTGTGCATAACATTTACAAAAATGCACACCAGCAGCAGCCGTAGCTAAGGGCTATTCATTCTGTACCTAGGCAAACACTCTGCCACCAAATAAATGCTCACGAATACGATGCAAATGACCCAACCAATATTATACTGCTTAACACAAACCAGCTTATCCTTCAAATGAAGAAGTTAACATACCTGTTTCAAAATATAGAAACATACGACGAAAATAATGTCTATACATAAGACTAACTTTTTGCAGTTTGTTATATTCACAATTCTACATCTTGGGGGTGAGGGAAGAGAAGGTGAGGCGGGTGGGGGAGGGGCCCTCTGGATTGAAAAGGAGCTTGTCTAGGGCAAAGGAAGTGACTGCCCTGTGGTTCAAGGGTCTCTCTCCTTTTTCACTTTAACATCCCCAGCTAAGATAGTCGCGATTTCACCCTGCATGAAGGCCCAAGGTACGTTCGACCCGACTAGGGGGCATTTCTCTCCGCTGGGGCAATACACCTCACCAGTGGCCCCCTGGGCCTTGATACTCTCTCTAGAACAAGGGAAGCAAAATTTGTGGCTAGGGACGGATGGGCACTGAACAAAATGCGTGTCCTCCAAACGTTCGTGGCAAATGGTACAGCAGAGGGGTCCGCTGTTAGCCATTGGGGAATCCGGAATGTTTTGGGGGTGCACTTGGTCCATGCCCGGGTGGGCGCTAGGCGGCGGGGGCGCCACCTGTAAATTCAGGTCCCCATTTCGTGATGCCAAGCGACGCTGCCCGGGCACAGAGGCAGGCGACACCGGACTGCTGCTGTTTCGCCTCGCTGATGCAGTGGTAGAATGCACAGAACTGCCGTCCTTGGGCGAGTGCGCCGTGCCCAGAGTGTCTGCCACTGACATGAGCGCGGCCATGGGGGACGGACCATTCTGAGGGGCTGACTCCGGAGGGGTGGTCCGGTTGGAATGGGGTCCCAGAGGTGGGGGTGGCGGGGGCGGTCCCCCTGCCGCATGCCCCGGCGCTGCAAAGCCCCCGGCGGACATGGTGAGCTTCAGTGCCTCGCTCTGGTTTGCCATCCACTGCTGCCTCTGCTGTTCCTCGCCGAGCTTCAGTGCGCCCTCCGCCGAGTCTGGGGGTTCGGGGGACGCCTTCCTCTTCCGCAGGCTGGCCGCTGCACCCCGACCCGAGGGCGCAGCGGACGGCAGGGCCCCGGTTCCAGGAGGTGCGCTGGGGGCGCGGCTGAGGCTAACCAGCGCAGTGGGCAGCATGGGACAGCTGGCATCCAGGTAGGGCTGGGGCAACATGTCTGCACCGGGCACGCCCTCCTTGAAGAAGCGCACTGCCTCGGGCAGCAGGTCACCAAGTAGGCGCCAGTCTCCGGAGCCATGCTTCTTTTCGTACTCCAGGTACTTGAAGCCAGAGGACAGCCCCCGGCCGAAGTCCTTCATGCAATCCTGGTACATCTGCTTGGCCACTCCGGACGCGCTGGAGTAGACGTTGCCCGAGCCGGTGGGATACTCAATGAACAGCTTCAGCTCGTAGTCCATGCCCGGCTTGGAGACGGCGTCGAAGGCGAAGACGCGACCCAGCAGCGAGTGGTCCTTCTTGAACCGCACCTCGTAGGGCGTGCAGCCAGCCAGCGTGAGCAGCGTGTCTCGGACCATCTTGGGCTTGTTGGCCCACTCCTCCGCACGATTGCGCAGGCTCTCGCTCAGCTCCGCCAAGGCCTCCGCGTTGCGCTGCTTCTCCTTCAACTCACGCTCCTGGTCGGTGCTGGACACCGAGCCGGGCCTCTTGACACCAGCACCCACGCCCACCTCTGCTACCGACGATGAGGTCGAAGACGGCGCCGAGGACGCCACGGCTGACACCCCCGGGGCACCCCCGAGACAGGCGGGCCCCCCAGGAGCCCCCGGAGGCGCAGGAGTCGGGGGTCCTCGGTTGCCCCCCAGGCCGTGGGGTGGAGGCGGGGGCAGCACCGCGGTGCTGGCTGGGCCGTTCAGCAACGTCTGCGGCAATAGGTTGGGGGGCACCGTGAGTTGGGGACCCCCGCCACCCCCCGGGTTGGGCAGCCCGGTTACCAGCCCACCGTGTGTCCCACGCCGAGATGCCACTGACGTCGCCGCTGAAGACGAGTTGGGACTCTGGCGGTTCAGCTCCGGGGGCCCCTCCTCTGGTGTTGGCTTGGGGAAGCCGTTTGGACCTCCCAGGCCGTTAGGCAGCCGGGCGGCGTGGCTGCTGGTTCCCAGACTCACCGGGGGCGGCGGATACTCGAACCGGTTGCGTTGTTCCACCGCGGCGGCAGCGGCAGCGGCAGCGGCAGCCGCCGCGCTCAGGCCGTAGCGCTCCAGGCCGGAGGGGGCCGCCAACACCGCAGGCTTGCTGGAACCATCGACGTGGTTGAGCTGTTGTTGCTGCTGCTGTTGCTGCTGTTGCTGTTGTTGTTGCTGCTGCTGCTGCTGTTGCTGCGCGGCCGCGGCCGCAGCCGCCGCCGCCGCCGCCGCCTCCTTAGCCGACAAGGCCACTGTCTTGACCCCGACGGGCGGCGGCGGCCCGGGGGAGCGGCCGTCCTGGAAGCATCCGTGCGCCCGTTTCAGCTGGCGTGCAGTCTCGATCACGAATTCTATGCGATCGGCACCCTCGTAGTTGACGCAACCGCGGCACACAGGTTCCGAGAAGTCCCAGATCATGGCCCAGGGCATGCGGGGCAGGTCGCACAGGTAGCAAGACTGTCTCCGGGACGAGGACACCTGTGCCGCCGACATGATGCCAGCCTTGGGGAAGGAAGGCCGCCGCCTGGGCTGTCTCCGCAACGCCTTCTCCTCCGGGAGGACTGGCTGGCTGGGGAGGGAGTCCGGCTGCGGGGGAGGGGGCGGGAGGGGCGAGAAAGTTCTGCCCCAGGGGCTGGAGGGAGCGCGAGTCTCCACAGCCGGCGCAGCGCCTCTCCGCGGGGGTCTCCACCTCCCGGGCGGCCGACGGATTCAGTACGCTCCTCGCCCCCACCTCCTACTGCGGCTGTCTTGTCGGGAGAAGAGCTCAAGGCGCCTTCTTCCTGGTGCGGCGGATCAGGGCTGGAAGCTTCGGGCCCGGGGGGAGGGGGCGAGGGCGTCCAGTGCCCGCCGCCAGTTGCCTCTTGGCCCCCTCCCCAGTGACTGGAGCGTGAAAGCTCGGTGGGGGCTGCCTCTTCCTCTCCTCAGGGGGCCGCCCTAGGATCTGCGTCCTCTCCGCGCCAGGCACCCCGGGGCGAGGGTTATAGGGTTGTGCCACCCGGTGCCCGGGTCCAATCTTGTTGAAGCCGCTGCTTCCCTGGAGGGGCAGGGATGGAGGTGGCAGCCAAGAGGAGCGTCTCCCCTCCGCAGCGTCGACCCGGTACCGCGGGCGGCGGCTGGGTTTGCACGCCGGAGGGACCCGCCGGGGCCACCGCTTCCAGGACGCACCAGAGCAGAGGACCGGAGCGCACGCACGCAGGCTCCCACCGCCCCCCGGCCTGGCCAGTTCCGGGGCCACAGTAGCTGGCGGCGCTCACGTTGGCTGCAGGGCGCTCGCTCGGCGCCTCCACCCGGGTCGCATCCCTTCCCGCTCGCGCTCGCCTGGAATGTGGGGTTGTGATTGTTACTCTACGTTCCGGAGGCGCGTCTCAGCGCTCCGGCTCCGGCTGCGGCTCGCGCTGTCCCTGGCTTGGCCGCGCGGGATGCCGCCCGGGCGGAGCGCTGACGTCACCGCCATGCTCTGCACCAGTCCCCCACCCCCCCTTTACACTTCCTCTGTCTGTGGAGCCCACTTGTTGCTCTCGAAAAGCGCATGCGCGGCAGGACGCCCAGATTCCTCTCTGCGGCCCCTCCTCCGCGCCTCCGCCCTCCCCTCCCTTCCCCTCCCCCCTCACCGTGTGTGTACAACAGCTGAGGCCCTGCAAGCTAAGGCTGGAAGTCCAGGGCCAGGGGGTGGAAATTAAACAGACGATGACCTTTCCTTTTCCTGCCTGGCTTTCCCAAGTAAAAAAGCATTTAAGAACCGCGAGCGTCGCTTCCGATTCCGGTTCCCCACCCCACCCCAGGCAGTGAATTTGTCCTCTTTCAGGATTTTCACTTTGAATTTCATATAAGGTATTATCCATTTCATCTGCGATCAGAGCTCCCGCCCCCACTAATGTTAAATTCCTTGCCATCATTGATGCCCTAACACCTGCAGAGTTAGCTGTTCTCCAGTTTGCCAAAAACTGCCTTTTAGATTTGTGCGTCCTGGTCTAGGAATCAGAGCTTCAGCGGTGGCGCTAAAAGAGTCAAACCCCCCCACCCCCCACCCCCCAGGCCAAACTCTTAAAAAAAAAAATGGCTGTGTAAAGAAGCTGCAAGCACCCGGAGGCCTTTAAGGAAAACAGTCAACTGGCTGCACACAGCTGCAGATGAGGGCAGGGAGGGACAAGTGCTGGGGAGACCAAACAGGTGAGTGGTTTTTCTGGGTTTCATAAAAGGTGGGGGCAGCATTTAATAATACTGATTGCTAGGGATGGGGATATGGCTCAGTGATAGCGGGCTTGTTTAGCATGAACAAGGCTCGAGTTCAATCCCAGAACCATAAATAAATAAAGCACAGCCAGTTCTCAAAGTTCTTTCTCCTGTGTTGTGATTTAATTCCATACCGCCCCAGAGCCCTATGCAAGGTCATGATTTTACCCCCTAAGATCACTGCTCATCATTATTGCTCATTGTAAAACAGATCAAGTTGGTCTTAGCTCTGGCTGGAGCATTTCAACTGATTCTTCTGTTTATTAGGTCTGTAGGCTGAAGGGGGGAGGTGATGTAATAGGACCAGGTTCTGCCCACAGGGTTGGAATTTCCTTAACACCACTACTGACTCTGCAGCCTTGAGCTCTTTATTTCTGTAACCCATTTTTCCTTTTGTAAAATGGAATGATCTCCCAATTTGATGGGTTGAAATTTCAGTTTGTTTCTTACAGTAAGAAACTGGCAGTGAGCTAGATTACTGTGCAAATGGACTATTTGCATCACCCTTAATATTATTTTCATTATAATGTACAATGTGAAGAGGTATTATCTGCAATAGTAAACCCTTATTATCCACAAAGAAGATTCTGTTAATTCCATTTTACAAACTAGGAAAGTAAAGAGGTAAAGTAACTTGCCTATAGCTACTGCAGCTGACCTGGGATCTGAATCCAGTAAATCTTATTTGAGAGGTGGCATATACAAGCTGGGGCTCCCAGAGGTTAGTGTGGAATGTTCAAATTTCCCATCAGCACCCCATTCTTTGTTACATACAGTCTTGTATGTAAAGTGCTGTGCTGTGCAAATATACTTTCGTAACCAACACCCAATCTCCCCTTCTAGACTGTGTCACATATACAGAAGCTGTGGACCTACCACTACCATAGACTGAAACATAAATACACTATACAGTGTGGAGCACAGTATTGGATCTATCAGAAACTGACAATAAGCATTGAATATTAATATTGATACTGGTATTGTCACTGAGTTACATGTAAAAGTATTAAAGAGCATAAGACATTTATTTATTGTTTATTTATTATCTTGGCCTTTTTGAGACAGGGTCTCCCTGTAGCCCCAATTGGCCTTGAACTCACAGAGATCCACCTGCCTCTGCCTCCTGAGTGCTGGGATTAAAACTGTGCACCACTATGCCCGGCTTGACCATTACTTTTTTATTTTATCTTATTATTTTTATTTTATGTGTATGCATGTATTGCCTGAATGTAGGTAAGTGCACCCGTGTCGTGCAGTGCCCACTGAGGTCAGAAGAGGCTGTCAGATCCCCTGGGATTGGCGTTATGGTCAGTTGTTAGCTGCCATGGGGGTACTGGGATTCGAGCCCAGGTCTTCTGCAAGAACAACCAGTGTTCTTAACTGCTGAGCCATCTCTCCAGCCCCATGACCATTATTTTTATCACTGCTATTACTACTATTGCAGACAGAGCAGTTGAAGCAACAACAAAAGAATCTCATATTTATGACATTTGTTGTTCAGAACCCGGTCCCTTATCTAGCATTTCCCTGCAACTCCATCTTCCCCTCATTCTGGGCCCCAAGTGCAAAGGAAAGAAAGTAGAGCTTGTAAGGATAGGGTGAAAGGAAGAAGAGCCCTTGGGAGCCTCTCTTTCATCTCAGAGCAGCCCAGTTTCTGTTTTTGCAAAAACAGTGAGCTCACTGTGTGCTCCAGAGAGAGCAATAATAAACTGTCTGGCTGGCAGGTTTGGAGCAGTGATTCCTCTGCTTAGAGCTGCTCCAGGAGTGCTGCCTCACCCTTAGACCTCAGATCTCCCCACGTCACAGCTACCCTGGAGTGTGACTCAAAACACAGGACTCAACAATCCCTGCCAGTCTAGGACTCCTGCATGTTGACTTCACTGGTTGGTCTGTTTCTTTATATTATCCCCCACCCCCACCCCCCCAAGGGTGCCGCTGTGTAGCTGTTTGGCCTGGAACTTGTTAAGTAGACCAGGCTGGCCTCAAACTCAGAGACCCACCTGCCTCTGCCTCCCAAGTACTGAGACTATAGGTGTGTACCACCACATCCAGCTATTTATTAAACCCAAAATGTTGGAGAAATAGCAATTTAGCCACAAACTTCCAGGCAGCAAGCTAGAGAAAGCAAGTTGGACTGTATGTTACGTTTTGTATGCACACACATATGCCTCCATCTCGTCTGTATCTTCACTTTTACTGAAGTCTCTCTCTCTCTCTCCTCTCTCTCTCTCTCAATCTTCAGACACAGTGAGTTAGAAATCAGCATGCATTGAAACAGATTCCCATTACAGCCTACAGTCTCATAATCCTTTTATTTAAAAATCAGAACTCTCCACCCCACCCCACCCCAAAAAAAAGAATCACCATCTTTTTTGGTGATAAATTGCTGCTTAACTCCTTGTCTCAGGCAGTCCTATTTGGGGATGCGTCAGCGATGGTGAGAGGTGAGAACGCCAGTGTTTGGAGATGCATTCCTCCCCCCTCCCCTTGCAGCACTGTATGTAACCTCTTGTGAAGAGCAAGAGAAGTGAGAAGGGGAGCAGAGACATACAGAACTCTGGTGTATGGTTCAGAGCAGCGGACTGCAGTAACTAGCCGAGCAAGGCATAAAGTTTCATCTCACTAGCTGTCTTTCCTCCCAGCATGCCATCTGAGATAGCATCCTCAGAGAACCCTGTTCTGAACTAGAGCAAAAGGTCAGCTTTCCATTTGGCCTTTCCGGAGCAACATAGCCCAGCGTTGTAAGTGTGAAGGTTGCCAGGATCTTAGGCACTTTGATGCTCCCTGGCGACTCCCAGCCGCCCTCCACTGCTCTCAGGGTTTGGGGCCGAGAAGGGACGGAGGGGTGTTGTGCTCTTGGCCTGGTATCCCTGCAACCAGCTGGCTCAAGAGGCTGAGGCAGAACCTCGCGTCACCCCACTGCAACGCGCGCCGCCAAGCGCTCCGCTGAGAGAAAAGCCTTTTTTGGTAACACACAGCCGGGCAGCAAGGAGGGCTGGTTCTTTGGCCTTCGAGAGCCGCCTAGAAGTAGATGAAAACAAACGTGTGGGTTGGGCTCTCCTTTCGCCTCTTTAAGGCCCGGGATCGCCGCTAGCCAGGAACCCCAGGGGCGCCGCCGAAGCGCCGAGTCGTGCGAGGGGGCGGTGGAGGTGGGAAACTGCAGGCCGATTTACACATTTACTCTCCAGCCGGATCCGTGGCGGAAGTATTTGCCTTTCCCTAAAGGATTAACCCTGGTGTTAAAAAAAGAAAAGTACGGAGTTAGGCCAGGGCATAGGGTTACGCAAGAGCCACTAGAGCGTGAAATCCCAGGAACAACGTGATTTGCCGCGAAGCCCCGGGGACAGAGCCTGCGCCGCCAGCCAAGACCTGCCCAGCCCCGGGCGCATGAGCAAGAGGGGCGCTCTGTGTGAAATTGGGTAGAAGGCAAGGGAGGACGAGCATAATGGTTGGGGTTGGCGCAGTGGCCGCAGAAAATGATCTGATCGCTAGGGCTGTTTTCTTCCCGGAGGGGCGGAGAGCAAGGAAGGGGAAGAAAGACGCGGGGGTAGTCGGGTCTGGTTCCTGCCTCCTCCCAGCATCCTCTCCTTGCCAGCGTGCCAGGGCATGGGGGAGCCCAGCGCTGTCCTCAGCAAAAGCTGGTGGTATGTTTTTTACTTCCAAAAATAAAAGCCTGGAATGAGCTGTCCAGGGAACCAGGCCTAGAAGAAAAAAGTGGAAGCGCCAGACAAGGGTGCTATTCATTGATTCAGTTGGGTTAAAACAGATACTCAACCTCAACAAAGGAGGTAGAGGAAGGAAGGAAGGCTTGGACGACGAGTGTAAGCGAGGACCCTGGAAAGGCCACAGGTGTGCCTACTCCAGACCCCCCACTCCATCCCGCGTGCACCTGGGCTCCAGCAAGGAGATTCCCACCAGCCTGCACGAAACTGGGGATTTCCATCGGCCAACCTCAGAGACCCATCGCTGCCGGCACTTTCCTGCTGGGACACCGCCAGAAGGTGTAGTCCCAGAGCTCCTCTCAGGGCCTCGCCATCCCTGTGTCACGGCTGGTACATGGGAATAACCACGGCAGCTTCCCCTGGTTTCGTTCGGTCTGTGGGCCAGGACTTCAAATATTTTGATTTGCCTGAACTGAGTGGTTCAACTGTATCTCTGTATCTGTTGGGGCGGGGGGATATTGGGTATATATTTACATTATTCTGTTCACCTTGGATTTGGCTGACCTTGAACAAATTACTTGCACTTTGGATTCTTAGTAAAACCAGAATAATTACTTCACTTCCTTTGCCTGCTACATTGGTCTATGTAGATGACAAAGTATAATGCGCTTAATAAAACGTATGAGATTATTAACAATATAATAACCAACATTTGTCTTGGGCTCCAAAGAACATTCCCAGACATTATCTCACCAATCCCCACACCAGCCTGTGAGGTAGGGATTGCTTTCATCAGCCTCCTATACAGTGAGGAAAGCAGGTCCAGAAGCGGTCCAGCGCTTCTGGGCTATACAACTGGCATTCTCTTTCACTTCGAGGGCTCCTAGCCT